GCACCATTCGAACCTAAACTTCACTACTATCTACAGTGGGTATGCTGAAAGCTTGAGCACGGAGGACATCCAATCGATCAGGGAGAGCTTGCTGCCGCATGCAATGTCGATGGCAGAGCAAGTCTCTGCTCAGTGGCTGATGGACGTCCGCCGTGAAGACATGGCCAGAAGCATGCGTGGGGAGGACGTTGGCTAGCCCGTAGATGGCACATAGCCTAGGTCGGAGGTGGACGTCGCCCCGGCTTCGACCGAACCGAATGTCGTGCCACCGGGGAGTGAGCAGTCCGTGCCTTCGCCGGTCGCACCGACAGCGGATGTCGCCGAGCCGGTCCAATAGCTTGTAAAATATAAGTAGTTTAGTGAACGTAAAAAGTTTAAGTTCGTGGGGGAGCCCCCGTGTAAACGTTCCTATGTGCTTAATGACTACATTTGGTTTCATTTTCTGTGATGGAGTCACTCCGTTCGGGGAAGCTTGTTCCCTTTTGTTCCTTAGTTTTCCCTTAGCATAATTTTGTTTTTTATTCTTTCTTTCTCGTACATGCCCGTTTGTCCCGTAGGCTGCAACCTTGGGAGCCTGGGGCATGGCCCGCAAGGCTAGCTGCTCGTAACCGTAGGAAAAGGTGGGGTGCGATCGGTCAGAATGTTTTAAAGTAAAGCTACGTAAGGCAAATTAAAGCAACGAACTTCCCTTTTGATCGAGTAGGAAGGAATTTCACCATATGATAGTAAACAAAATAGAGAGGTAGTAGTGCCCCCTAGTGGAGCCCTCGAGCGCCCTAGGCCAAAAAGTGTTTGGGTCGGGGTGCTTTTATAGGAGCATACACTAAGTAAACAATGGTAAGACTGAAACTTAGGGGAAGAAAAACGACATAGCTGTTCCAAGCGTTTGGAGAGAATGTCGTTGTTGTTGTCCTTTAGTCGGTAGGCGTCCGGTCGGATCGCTTGAACCTTCAGTCATCCGGATCCTTGCCCGCTATGCCCCCTTTCTCGGTCGCTGCTTCTTCACCTTTTTCTTCCTTTGGCCTACCGGCCAGCCGCAGAAGGCGCTTGAGGAGCTGGTAGTCCTTATAGAGGTGTTTGACGGGGTAGTTGTGGTTGGTGCACGGGCTCTCCATGAGCTCGTGGAAGTGGCCCGGAGGGTCCTGCTGGGGCTGCGTGCCCGCGTCATCAGCCGTGGCGACCAACACAGAGTTGGCCGGTCGGCGACAATCCTTTCTATTCTTTTTCTGGCTCTGCGTGGAGGGGCCCTCATCCTGATCCTGGTGCTTGGCCTTGCCTTTGCCCCGGTCTCTATTGGAGCGTGGCTGGAGCGGTGCTTGCTGGAGGTTTTGGACAAAGGTTCGCGGTCCTAGGCCATCAGGGCTAGTACTTCGGTCGCTGCGGCGTGTGTCTCGGTTCAGCCCGAGCCACGCGTAGATAGGCGGTTGATACGGAGCGGTCGTCAGGTCAAGACGAGGTGCCAATGCGGCCTCCTATGCCGCGCTCGGCGGTCGTCGTGGTGATCGGGTGGGGCAACCCATCTGTTGCGTCCCCATTCCCCTGGTGGGGAGTGAGGCCATGAGTCGGCGTCGCGATATGGAGCTCCCCGCTTGTTGCAAGGCGGCGGTCTCCACTAGTGCCTGGAGGTTCCGGTGGATCGCCTGTTCATGAGGGTCGTTCGGCTCGGACAAGCCGCGCAGAAGCATTGCTGCAGCGGCGATGTTCTGACTAGCCCGAGCGAACTATGGGGGATCGTTCCCCCTGTCCATGGTGTTGCGCTGGACCTGATGGGTGCAACCCCGGGCGTCGCTCACCGATCTATGCGCACGGGGCGTAGTGTGGTGCGCCGAGCGCGCTGGCGTAGTCGGTGGCTAATGCAGCCACTGTTGTCGTAATGCCTCGCCGTGCTCCCATGTGAGCTCAGGGGTCTCTGCACGAGAGTCCAGTGAGGTGTGAGTCTGTGAGGACTCTGCTTCCATCGGTGGGTGTCCCAGAGCGTCCGCCATAGCGCACTCCCAGGACGGACGATGGCTAGGCGCCATGTCGCCGATGCTGGAGCCATCACTCTCGCCATCATCATCCATGAGGTCGAGGAAATAGGTGGGAGCATAGCTCACCATTTCCATGAATTCGGACACGAGAGGGGGCGGCGCTGGCATCCTTTGGAGCCCCCGGGCGTATGCGTCCGTGGAAGACGCGAGGCCGTAGGGGAACCGGTCGTATGGTGGTTGCGTCGGGGACAACGGGTCCCTCCGGGTAATTGGCGGAAGATAGAGAATAGTAAGTAAATAACAGCATGTACATTACTCACTGCGGGGTTTAAGCAGAGAGTTTTCTTGGAATGAAGCGCGGATGCCGCATCGTCGAAGTCGTGCGTCCCGGAGTCGATGGAGGGCGCCCCTCCAATGGGTGCCGAAACATGAGCCTCCTCACGGAGGTGTAGTATGCCGAGCCAGTCGGCGACGAAGTCCAGGCTTCCGAAGAGGAAGGCCTGGGATGGCTCGAAGACGGGTGGGACCCGCATCCCAACCTGTGGGAGAGCGAGAAACTCGAGCGAGCTGAAGCGAATCGTATCGCCTGAGCCTGCCACGGTGAGGGTGGTAGAAAAGTGGGCCATCCGATGACCAAAAAGTGTTGAACGTACAACGTCTTTGCCACGGACGACGCCAACTGTCGGTGCAGAAAGTGACCAACAAGTAAATATTTATAGTTTTGATGTACGTTGTGATCGGAGGTGGCCTAGCACTCAATGACACAGGGTTTATACTGGTTCAGGCAACGTTTCCTACGTCCAGTTTGAGTCGGTCGGTGACTTTATTCTTGAGCCTAGGTGCTCGAAGTTTGCAGTGGGGTTGCAAACGAGAAGGAGAAAGATGGGGTACAAGAGGTCCGGTCGGCTCCGGTCGGAAGGGCAGAGAGCGACAGGAGCTCCGCTATGAGCTAAGTGTTCAAGCGTGTGCTTGAGGTCAGAACCTGGCGGTTCTGTGGTTGTAAACTAGTGAACTTGGTCTATCTAATGAGTCTCGAATCACCTGAATGTTGGGAAAGAGCACATTCCCTTTTATAGATGAAGGGGATGGCCTTACAAGTGAGAGGGAGAGAGTTCATATGCTTCTAAGTCTTGTTGCCCATGCCGGTGGGTACAGGATGATGGTAGGCGCCCACAACACTGTTGGATGTCAGATGTACGTGGGAGGTTACGTCGTCTTGTTCGGGTATGGTAGATGTCGGCACCTGCATATACTGTTGATGCCCAGAGGCATGTGAGGAGTTTCACCATGTGCACTTGGTATGGTAAATCCCGGCGCCCACAACACTGTCGATACCCGGAGGCATGTGGGGGGAACCTTACCGTATGGGAGTTTAATGGCGCCTACAATACTGTAGGGGAAAATGTAGGCGCCTACAACACTGTTTGTGTCAGGGCGGTTGCGAGAGTACTATTTCTACAGGTGTATAGGGTATGGTCCCTGGTATCGTGGTTTGACTTGTGCGCCTTGCCCTGCTTTCTCCGTCCGTTGCCTGATCCTTTCCGAGTGGGCGTCCCCGGTCGGTTAGTCCCAATCGACTCTGGTTGCGCCAGTCGTAGAGGAGCAGTGAGCAGGGTCTTTGCATCCCCTAGTCGGAGATGTGGGGTCGGAGCCGGAGGTAGTACTCTGCCAGGCCTTCCGGTCGGAGAGACCGTCCGGAGGTGGGCTGGAGACCGAAGTGAGCGCTCCGGTCGGAGAGGTGGGCCGGATTCAGAAAGCAACGCTGCTTCTCCTCGGCCAAACCTTCCGGTCGGTTGATTGGATCGCCTTTCTGGCCTGCTGTTTAGATACTTGGACCGGCCCATGAGTTGCGTGATGTCTGCTTGGACCGAGCCTTCGGGGAAGTCGGTCCACGAGGGACCCCATGTTTATGAACCCGACACATCCTCTCCTTTTTTTTATATTGATGGCATGTTGGGAAGGCGGAAGAACACTGGAGAACATGGAGCCATGCGCGTAAGATGAACGTGTATTAGTACTCGCCGCATCTAAGAGGCCATTTGATCCTGATGAGGCTATTGTTAGGTGGACTTCCAAGGAGATGATTTATTGTTTATTTATTTATAGCCTAATCCAACATCAGCCGATAGTTTATTGACCTCAGTCTTACGGGCCAATGGTTTCTCTAGGTCTTTGGTGGATTTGCTAATGCATCGAATAGGACAAAAAAACTTTGTGTAATGCTTGCCAGGGAAGATTTGGCAGATGACGTTGATCTAAAACCTATAGCTATCTTGACAGGAGGATACTCAGATAGTGATTTCAAGGTATAATACTACTAATGCGATGAATTTGTTATGGCACTTATTTTTACAATCAAATATTGATTGTTGTTAATCTCTTGACTGATTATTTTCAGAATCCGTGTGTTACTACTGCTCATCATCCTACTAGGGGGATTCTTGAAAAGGAGAAGAAGGTTTGTTTTAGCCTTTTAAGTTTCCATGTGATCCTTACTCCTCCGTGTCCTAATAGTATCAGTTAGTAGTCACAAAATCGGAATGGAATAGAATTATTTTCATACTGGTTGTGTTTGATATATATGGACATGTTCTTTGTTTAATAGAATCTGAGCAATGTGGGTGAGCCATTGCTGTGCCAGCTGTCATTTTGTTCTTCCTGCCCATACCTTCGTACGGTGCAGTCACTTTATTTGTTTATGCATCCCTTGTACAATTATATCAGCTTCATCCAACTTGCCTTTGTCACAGGACCTTGCTAAACGCGGCGCAGTGCGGGCAGGGTTGGTTGGTGGTTTACATAGTCTAAATTGAAAACACAGGAACTGTCTCCTGCTAATTTTCAGTGTTTGTACTTGCAGCGCTAGAGCAGAAATCGTCCATCATGGCATGTTTATCAGCCCAACCTCTCAGTTTAGACAACAGTGCTCTATATTAAACTTCTAATATTATTTTCATGTAAAGATTAAATATATTTTTTTGTCAGCGTCTTAACCAGGTGATTTAGCGGCGCATGCGAGGGCGTCGTGGACTAGTATGCATGAATCGACAAAACATATCGATCAAGAACGCACTTGCGGCGGAACCTCCTCGCCGCTGACTTTCGTTTGTCCTGCGCGTCCTCGTGCCTCCGCCGCCGCCTGATCTCCTCCTTGACACCCACGCGGTACACTTGCGAGTTGAACCGCTGCAGGAGATCCTCCCCATCCACGTCCTCGTCACCCGGGTCCACCTTCGCGTTGTGGTACTTCGGGTTGGCCGCAACGAGGGAGACGGGCGCGGCCGCAGAGCTGGTGGTGGCGGCGGCGGCCATGGAGGTGGACTGGTGTCTCCAGCCAGCAAAGACGGGTCGGGTCGGAATAGAGTACTCTGCAGGATATAAGGATGGCTCTATGGCCTTGTATTATTATCACCAGAGGGCTCAGCTGAATCGCGAGCCACATGAACATTTACAGGTTCAGAGACCCGGGTCCCAAGAGAAGCCAATGCTAACTAGCTCATGCGCAGACGAGTTCTTGGTATGTTTAATAATCAACACATTTGAACAAATAAAACACTCATGCAAGAGCTCACGATCACTAAACAACATACCACTCAGGGCCTTGTCCATCGCCATTGAGCAAATTGCTTCCCACAGCTGACTTGAGTCCGTTTCTAGTTGGATGCGCGAGATGCCGCGATCATCAGCCGCCAATTCCAAGGCTTTCATGCAAGCCAGCCCCTCCTCCATCAGAGCATCGTGCACTTGTCCCGCGTTGCTAGCCCTTGCAAGCACCAGGCACCCATTGTGATCTCTAACTATAAATTCCCAGGCTTCCTGTCTTGTCTCCTTCACGTACTCTGCAGACATGATAGAACGAAACCCACCCCAACTTGTTTGTAGAGAAGGCCCTGGTTGGTGGGCCTGATGATGGGCTTGAGGTTTCTTCATTAGGCTATGCGCTTTCTCTTTCTTGAGCCCACGGATCAGCCCAGTGCAGCAGAAATCTGCAGCCACGACACTTCTCAATTCTCACCTTGCATTGCAAGCCGTGCAATAATGCCCTTCGGTCCGCATCTAGTACTTTATTTTACAAAGGTTGTCGCAGTATGCGGAGACATTATTTATGTATATAAATATGTTACTTGGTAATGTGGCTGTCATTAACTCGTTATAGATAGAATGCCATTATTAGCCATGGAATTGGAAATAAAATATGGTAGTCATCAGTGAACATCAGCGTGAAATTGATCAGGACTAAACTCATAGCATCTACTAGATGTACAACCTGTTCGGCTGGAGCGGCTGGCTGGCTGGCTGGTGCTGGCCAACCCTCTCACGCGGATACTGTTCATATGAATAGTGTCTTCTAGCCAGAACAGTATTATTTTCTCACATCAAATCAGCCAGCAGTAATAATCCACGAACCAGCAGCTCCAGCCGAACAGGCTGATAGTTATTTAGAGTATATTCCACTAGAGATATCTGCATCTAAATTAATGTGAACTATTTTGTAGCAATTTTGGAGGATTATTAATCACAAGCCTAGGAGTTATTAATTATTGCTAAAATATAGAATGTTTTCACCATCTATAAATAGAACAATGTGCAGGATGTGTGTATGTTTGTAGGACATACATACCTCACACAGAAGAAGCTACACCATGTATACACCGTGATTGCTGTGATGGAGGGAAGAATGGCTACTATAGTTGTGATGCTTATGCTTATCCTTGGATGTTTCGCGGTTCTCTCACAATGTAAGTTCAGATCATAAGATCTGTGGAACCATAGTAATTTTCTGGACTTCCAAAACATAGTTTTCTAGTTGTAAGTAATACTGTACAACATAGAAGAGACCCTTGTGCTCTTCTAAAACTTACATTTATGCGTTATTTATTCATGCATCTAATAACAATTAATTAACTACTCGTATTGTGCAGCTCAACACACAAATCCAGTTGGGAGCGACAGGGGATCGTCTTGCGGTTGCCTCAAGCTGCTACCCAGTTCGCCGCAATGCAAGCGCAATACTTGCTTCTGCTGTGTTATATTACCATGGCGGCCCTGAGCAATGCTTCGAGACAATGGATAAGTGCAAAAAATTTTGCTGCAGAGCATAAGAAGGCACGCCTCTTGTTATGGGCAAGGACAATTAGTAATATTAGGGATGACTATGCGCAGTAAATGTTCATTGCCTAGTAATAATAATAAAATATAGGATCACCAACAGGTTTTTAGCTTAATGGAATAATTTATGCTTCTCTGCTCCATGAGCCCTTTGGGACTTGTCTCAGCTCCACCTAATTCAGCTTCAAAATCCATGCAGTAGAAACTCTCTAGACCTATGAAACCTGCAAATTCAGTGGCGAAATCTATAGATTTGGTGGAGCTCTTGGTCTTCAAGCTAAGCAACTATACTATACGCACACGAATAGAAGAACGCCGCCGACCGCGCCTTGCGCCTGTCCCACGCGTCATCGTGCCTCCGCCCCCCGCATAAATACCAAACACAAAAACTGGATATCAATGGACCATTTCACATGCACAGCTATTTGGGGAGTGGGTATTCGTATCCTCCCCAAATCCACATCCACACGAACGGGTAGGGTATGGGTGCAAAATCCTTTACCCAATAGGAGAACGGGTATATCCACTAGTAATAGGGTATGGGGAGGGGATCACCCGTTATCCCCAGACCCCAATACGCCACGGAGCAGAGCGGCGACGCGGACCGGGACTGCGCGCCGAAGAAGACGAGGTCCGGTGCGTACACGTGGAAGCGGCGGGACAGGCGCGGCAGGTTGCGCGCCCACGTCCACTTGGCGTCCACGCCGAAGCCGTGGAGGAGGAGCAGCGGCAGCTTTGAGGACGGGGTGGCGGGGCACCAGACGCGCAACGTGGTGGCGCTGGTGGCGCCGCCGTCGCAGTGGAGGTGGACTAGGATGGGGCGGAGGCGGAGGTGTGGAGCGACAGCGCGGCGTCGCGGAAGGTGGCCAGGCAGAGGCGGAGGAGGAGCAGCGAGAGGGAGAAAAGCGCGAAGAGCGTGGACGCGCCGTGCGGCGGCTGCTTCATGTTCATGGCCGCCGCCAGCGCGGTGGCACTGGCACTGCCCGCTGTCGGTCGCATGGACGGGACGGAGATGCGCATCGAGGTCCAGGCCACTCACGGAAGAGAAAGTACAAGAAAACGATGCCTTCCCAGATCGGTGGACGGTGTGGCTGGAGCAGGTGCCTGCACTACCGGCCTACCTTGCTCGTAATTAATGAAGTCAGCATGCTACGCTGCTTTGCCGGGCAAATGAATGCAATCAAATCGTGCAGTCACCCATTACCTTCCCCGCCATCCAATGGATTTGGGCAAATGCATGCGGGTGCGAATGGGGAGGGTGGAGAATGGGGATCAGACAGCTGGGTTTGGGTTTGGTTAAGTTTGGATTTCTCCAAACCCTCCCCAACGACAGGTATTGGCAGGGATGCTAATGTCAGTAAAACTAGCTGTCCCACCTTCAGGATCATGAATGTCAGCAGTAGACTGGTTGGCAACTTGGCATGTTAATGTCTAATGAATATGGCAATCAAACTATTGTTGTCAGATATACGATCACATATAGCATCCTAATCTTGTGCTTAATGCACAACAACTTGCACATAGAACATGTACATGAAATCAGTCGCTAAATCTTGAAGTTTGGTCTAAAACTAAGCTAAACTACCATAAATAAAATCAGTAAAATTTTAAGACAAAGAACACAGAATGAGGGACCACATCTTTCATCCCAAGTTCCCAACTACACTATACGCATGGTTCCTCTCAACAACAAATATATATATATATAGAACTACTGTTCTGCAGCTGGTCATAGAATAACTTATTCTGTGGCCACTTTGAGTTACGATAATAATTACTATGTTAATTTACGAGATTACAGTAACTCCTTACTAAGTGATTTACTATAACGTTATGGTAAATATCCTCATGTGTTATAGTAACACAACTATCGTAAATATGTATTTACTTTATGGTAAATTAGTATATAAAATTATCGTAAATAGAGGTGGCTACAGAATAACTTATTCTATGGCCAGCTGTAGAATAGCCTTACCCTATATATATATATATATATATATATATATATATATATATATATATATATATATATAGAGAGAGAGAGAGAGAGAGAGAGAGAGAGAGAGACTACACGCATGAATCGACAAAACATATTGATCAAGAACGCCTGCATCAGTACTTCCTCGCCGCCGGCCGCGCCTTGTGCTTGCGCTTGTCCCGCGTCTCCACCGCCGCTTGATCTCCTCCATGACGCCGCACGGGACACCTGCCAATTGAAACGCCGCAGGAGCTCCTCCCTATTCACATCATCGTCGCTCGTGTCCACCTTCGCGTTGTGGTACTTCGGATTGGTGGTGCCAGCCGGCGAAGATGGGTACAAATAGAATAGTCTACAAACGTGACAGAATGAACCCACCCCAACTTGTTTGGATGACGTTATTGTGTGACGGGTCACGCCTTTGGGAAACGTGGGAGCACGACCCGTCTCTCCGCAGCGCGCCCGCTCCCCATGCCTTCTTCTCCGTCGACGGCAGTGCACCTCCCCCACCCCCGCCTCCTCCCCACTACCCTCGGCCGTTGGCTACCACGCTGCCGGGCGCGTCACCCACCTCTCGACCCTGCCCCTCCGCGCCACCCTCCTCCTCGTCCTCGCCCCCGCCGCCATCCACCGCCCTGCCGCGGTGCGCTAAGGTTTCACCGGAGCATTGCGGCCGCGGTGGAGTTCCGGAGAAACCCTAGCGCGCCTATGGCGGCCACCTTCTTCCCTCCCCTTCTTCTTCTGTGGTGAGGTCCAGCCATGGGTGCCCCCGCCCCAACCTGGCTCGGCCGCCTCCGCCGCCACCAGGACCCAAAGGCCGCCCTCCCGCCGTCCCCATCGCTTGGCCGACCTACCTCCCCCCGACCCCCCTTTTATGCTCGCCGGAGATGGAGTAGAAGAGAAGGCGCGGTCACCGGCGATGGAGTAGAAGAGAAGGCGCGGTCACCGGCAATGGAGTAGAAAGAGAGGAAGAGGCCGGAGAGAGAGGCCACCGCCGTCTTCTTCATCTCCGGTTGCCGGAACCCTAACACGGGCCCGTGGAGACGTGCACGCGTGGGCCGGCTCGTGTCACGCGCTCCGAGCGGAGCGCGACCTGGCGCGCGTTAGAGTTTGCGAACTTGTTTCGTTTGGAGAGGGCCCTGGTTGGTGGGCCTGATGGGCTTGAGGTTTCTTCATTAGGCTATGCACTCTCTCTTTCTTTAGCCCACGGATCAGCCCAACGCAG